GCTCCTGGCCTTACTACTAAGGAACAAAGACGCTACTACGAGCAAAGGGCATCGCTACTAGGAACAAGGACGCTACTAAGGGCTCCTGGCCTTACTACTGGGAACACGGACCCGGCGCTCCTGGCCTTACTACTAGGGAACCTTCTGAAAAAGACAGAGCCACCGCTGAAGGGCTGACATGTTGAGCGCCAGATTCTAAGGCCAGGAAGGATACAATCCTGATGACATTGTGGGTGTGGAGAAGGCGTGGAAGATGCTGCGGCCACTAGTTCTTGGCTTCAGCGGTCGGATCTTGTCAGGATGAGCTTGTGGACAAATTGTGGGTCCTTCGCCAAAGCCCCAGCACTGTTTCATCGAAGAGTGTCAGTAGCAGAAGTAGCAGATTGTTTGTTGGCTAGGTCAAAACCCAGTTGAAGAGGACTGTTGCAAACATCGTCAACGCACGCGAATCGCGTGTTGACGAGCCCAGCATGGATGCAGGACCCTTATCCGTTGCCGCTCTACTCCAATTGTTGGCCTCAATTCATCTTGCGAGGCGCCTGCCCCAAGCTTCTCTCACAACCCCTGTCATCAAAAGCGGAAGAACAAACTGCCTCGCCCAGCCATCTTCCTTGCTGCGATGCATTGGTTCGTGGTTTCCAGCTTTGCTGTCTCAAGCTCAGCACAGCTCACGACTTGCAGTGATGCTGTCGTTCTTTTTGTGTGGTCGACAAATGTCGAATTGATTGGTTGTTTGACTGGCTGAGGACACCCTTCTCACACTGTTTGCAGCAGTGGTCCTGATATTGGTGTTGCTCATTCGCAACCTTCGTGCCAGGGACCTCAGTAATATTGGTTCATGCAGCCGATTGACTTTGCTTTACCTCTTGCAAAATCAGGTCCGCCACTACAAAGCTGAGAAGAAGCGCAAGCGGTTGGATTGAATTCAATAATTCTGAAAAGATGTTGAACACGCTGACGAATGCAAAGCTTTTTGAATGATGGTGACACTTTCGCTGGGCGCTTTTTCAAGACGCACTTATTTGACAGTCTCCTAGAACATATGAAAACATTTAGGTTGACTTTTGTTGACACCACACGGGCACACCAATCACCAATCCCAACGGCAAGGTGAACACATATTCGCCGAAAAGTTACAAATCAACGCCTACTTGTGCACAGCGCATTCACACCATACCACATATTTGGAAGGGTTTCGGTGCTATATATCCTCACATACACCCATCAAAATCCCTAACAGTCCACAACGGCTTAGTTGCACAGCAAAGTTATATGTCAAAAAAGTAAGTAAATTTAAAAAAAATTACAATCTTTTGCACATTTGACATTCAATGAGACCGCTATGTAACAATTGTCGAGCAATAATGTGATTGTAGCGCAATATTGCGGTTTGGAATTTGTTATTACCTCGAATATTTTATTAATTTCTATTGTTATTATTATTACGGACAAAAAATATGTGGATTTGTGAGTTAAAAAAAAAATTGGGATTAAATTTATAGGATTATAGAAAGATTTGTTTTTTCGCGATTTCTTAGTTTTATATAATCCATTTTGATTATTCCGATATTTTATTATTTTTTGAAATCGAGGATGATTTTCCGGTAATTCGTTTATAATTTGTTCGATTATAAATTATGTAATAATTTAGAAGATCTTTTGGTCTAAGTTTTTCGATAGAAAGGTATTTTGATAGTAGAGAATGCTTGGAATTATTTTTTATGGGATAGTGTAGTTAAGTGTTTGCGACCGACGAAGTAATAGTTATTGATATAAAAGAAGGTTTAGGAATTTATTATTTAACTCTCTTAATTAGGTAATTAGGGAAATTTGATTTAGCGCTTTAGCGCGCTTAAACTTATGAATCGAAATTAAGTATCGAAAGATTCTTAGATAACGATAATATGGCGTTTCGATTTTAATTTCCGAAGTATAGGCTCGATTTAACACTTTGAGCGGAAGCGGGATATGTTAGTTGATTTTGTTGCGCTTGATGCCGATAGGCCTGTAAAGATTTCCGCTTGTTATCGCTATTTTTTACCGTGTGAGACGTTGATGAAATAATTGCTCCGGACAAGGCTATATAATACCTCTAATGCTTATTGCATTAATGTAATACTGATGGTATAGTTTTGGGCCATTTTGGTCTTGAGGGTTTTGATCCTGAATTATGGGATTAATGGAGAAAATCTTTACTTGAATTACTCGATATACTAATTGATATAGATCTATATATTATTAATTTATTTTAATGCCTGCTATAACCGTGGTTCGTTGAGCACGTCCCTATCGAACGTAGTAGAATTTTTGGGATGGCTGAGAGGTTAATACTTCCATGGCCATATTTGGGAAATGGAATTTAATGGCTGATAAACACGCTTGGCCAACTCCATAGAAGACCGCGGTGCACTTCTTGCACCTTTGCTCCTTCGTATGCCGGAAGAAAAGAGAAGCGAGCTGTAAGTTTTGATTAACATGGGCTATGATCAGGATCCCTTTACGAACGCCTGCATTTATGCCTATCTATGCATAGTATTGCAACTCGAACGATTCTTACCATTTGAATTGAAGCGTGAAATTCCAATGGATTTCTTTCGTATTTTATTATTATTATTGTTATATTTTATTCTATTATTATATTATTTAATTTATTAATATTTCTTTATTTTTATATTCTATTTTTATTTTATCCATTATTAATATATTATTTATTATTATTATTTACGTTTTTTATTATATATTCTGTCTAATTATATAAAAAATATTAAAATAAAATTAGTAAAAGCAAAATAAAACTATAAATAAATAATTTCAAAAAACAATTTTATAATTTATATTAATAATTTAATAAATATATAATGATCCAATATAAAAAAATAGTATTATAAAACATACCATAAATAAATCATTATAATTATTATACAATTTCATTTCATTTACAACTAGCCTGAGTGCGGTCAGGCCCGTGTTGGGCAGCATAGTTATTTAGCTGCGGTTGCTTCAGTGAGCATCTAGCCACAATCACGATGCGAAAGGTCGAATGGTGGGCTCAAGTAGCCACACCGAAAAAGGCCGTAGCCAGCAAGTCGGAAAGATCAGTGTGCAAATCTTCGATGGGTCTCCGCCATTATGTGTTTAGGTCATCCTCAAATCAAATAGGCAGCGCGGCGGATTGAATTAACAATTGGGTACCTGATCGCCTCTTTGTCATCATCAGTCAGCCAGGAACTATCCGAGCTGAGGAAGAGACACTGGTAGTGGCCACTGTCCGGGTCATTTCCAAAGTGGCACACAATAGCCACCACTCTATATTGTTGCCAGCTGATATCCCGACCGGAGGGATGATTGAAGATCGATACATGGACCTCGGCACGAATAGGAAATAAAATTATATTTAACTAATTTATGGGAAGATTTTTATGGAATAATATAAAATTGAATAATAATAATGAAAGATAATAATTCATAATAATAAATTCTTGATTAAAATAATTTAAATTAATTAAATAAAAATATATATAAATTATTGAAATAAAATAACAATATGTTTTACTAATTATATAAATTATAATTGGGATAATAATTAAATGATAATTTGATCCTCGATTTTAAATGGAATAATATAAATCAATATTGAATATTAAATATAAATTATAAAGATATAAATATAAAAATCAAAAAAGAAATTATTATTACTATTAATCGTTTTAATTATTATTTTATTATTAATATTGCATCAAAATCTTTTAATAAAAATCATGAATAAAAAAATAGGATTTTGATTATGAATATTTTTTTTTCAATTAGCAAAGATTATAATATTAAAAAATTCAATATATAAAAAAAATCTCATTTATTGATATTAATACCAATAAAAAGATATTATTATTAATAATGGGAATTTTTATAGTGCATAGTTATTTTATAATAGAAAGATTAATTAAATAAAGCATATTTTATAATTTTTATCCATAAAGAATAAAATAAATACATAATAGCAAATATCCAAATGAAAAAACAATTTCCTATAAACTAATCAAAGGAAGTTTAGTGTGCAAAATTTCCGTCTTACGGACATTCAACACTTGTTCAACCACCACTCATCATACACCACTCATCATACACCACTTTTCATACACCACTCATCAGACGCCACTCATCATACACCACTCATCATACACCACTCATCATACACCACT